AGCCATGACATCACCATACTATTCTCTTGGTTCCACCTATCATATTCAGCACTTCCGTACTTCGGTTCCTTCACTCTCCCATTGATGTATCCTATTTTCCCCCTAGCAGTGATGTAGAGTTTTATTCCCCTAGACCACTCAAGGTAGTTCAGACCATCAAAGGGAATGATAGCCATGGGGAAACTCATATCCATTCCCCCACTCACTCCATTATGGCTCCCTGRAATCTCTGAAGTAGCAGAATTCTCAGACGACATGGTAAGCACAAGGGTTTTTATCTAAACTCTCAACTTAGGATCCCTCCTTATATCGACAAAAAACTCCACATACAACAATTCAGTTCTGGACTTAATCTGAGCACAAAAAACAAACAGCACCAACTTCCAAAGAAGAACTATGACGAGGCTGATTTTCACCACAGCATTAATCAATAATGTGTAAGTTCCACCACAGCATTAATCAATAAGAGAGATCCTAACACACATGAAMTCARACTAACGAGCAGAGAAAACAGGTCATCTACGACCTACAGTCACCTTTTCATAGGTACAGGATCACACGATCCACCAAATAACAGATATAACCCTCACAAAAATCTGCTGACATTCAGTGGTTTGGATTCATTCGCTCTCCACTTGGTACACGACCAAGGAAAGAAATAAAGAAAGAAAACTTTAGGGTTGTACCAGTTGCAGCTCTGATTTGATCATCCCAGATTCAGTCCTCTGTTCCGCCCAGATTCAGCAACTTGAAGAGAGAAAACTTGGTCGCCCAAATTCAACAACCTGGCTCTGATACCATCTTGACAATAAATCTGATTGAAATATAAGAAAGTAGAGAAAAGAAGAAAAGAAGAGAGAAAGGAGAAGGAAGAAAGGAAGAAGAAAAGGCTTGGAGCAATAGAACAGTGTTGGCGGTGCCAGCTTTTATTATATTATATAGGGTGGCAGAAATAAGAAGGGAAAAGACCCTTGTGGTCCTGCTGTAAGTGAGTACAATAACAGACATAACAGAAATAAAAACGCTTCAACTATCCAAACAGACCCTAACACAAATAACTAAATTATTTCAACAAATATAAATAATAGTAAAAGTACAACAATGAAGAGAACCTTAAGAGAAAATTTTCTTATCCTAACTAAATTCATTGCAATGTTTTAAAAGCGCAGGGCATAAAGTTTTGAGCTCAACCACCCATAGCTATCAAAGAACTGGGAAAAGGCTATCAGAAGCCATCATTCATCATCAATTATAGGACTGACTTTGATCACAGGTAAGTATTCTCTCAATTCCCTTACTTGTTTATCTAAATCTTCCCTACCAAACAATGGTGAAAACCATATCTGATTCAGCCATCCCCCATATCTAAGGATTCTTTACATCCCATTAGAATAGTTTTCAAAAATTCCCACTAAAAACCCTAGTTCTTAAAAGTTTCTAATTTTCGTAACTTTGATCTTTTTGTGCCAAACAGTTCGAGGAAATTTGATTCAAATCCTGACATATCGATTTTTTTTGTTCTCTCTCTCCCTAGAAATTTCTGCATATTGCAGGATTTTCAGCACTAAACTGGTTTCCCTATCACATCATATGATCATACAGCCATAAACCCTAGGCAAACCCTTATCCCCCTTCCCTAGGCCTACACCTAGCCCCTCAAACCCAAACCTTGGACCCAATCCCTTACCATCATCATTTATTTTTTCATGATTTTTTTGGTAATAAATTTGTTACCAGTCCAGCATTGGGTCACATCAGTCCTACATCAACATGACCTTTTTTGGTAATAAATAAAAAGGAAAATTTTATGCCATGAAAAAAAAACATGGGAGTAAGTAGAAGTTTCTTGCAAAATTCTCCAGAAGAAGAAGAGGGAAGTGAGGAAAAAATTGCTGGCATGGTGAGAAAAGATATGAAGAATTACTTGACCAAAAGAAACTAATTAGAATAAGGCATTTATAATGATAACAGCAATAATAATGAGGAATGTGATAACGACGATAATAATGAAGAATATGATAACAATGATAATAATAAGGATTGTGACAACAATGACAATAAAACAAGGATTATGATAAGGATGATTACAATAACAAGGAAATTCATGACAATGACATTATGAATGAGGATGATTTATGGAAATACAATTGAATGGGGAGCATTACATGAATTACATACATTACATGCCCAATGATTACAACATATGGGAGAGTAGTTGTACATGTGCCACAAGCATTCATATGGACATATTTCCATCCCGAACACCATTTTTCCCTTTTCTGGCCTTACTATATTCTTCTTAAGAAGCATAAGATACCATAGAGAAAAATAATATGAAATAAATCGATTTAAAAGAAAATGACTATGAAAAATAAGGAAGATGAAAAGTACAACAATTAATAAAAGAAGAGTATGTTGGTGAGAGGATGTGAGAGAACAAGCAGGACAAACAGTGCAGTTAAGTGTATCAATGTAAAAAATGATGCAACAAAATAGAAAGAAAAACCCAAAATGGTACAAGGGCTACTAATTGAATGAGATTTGAGGGAGAGAGAGAGAGAGAGAGATTGAACTAGTGAGAAAAGCTATGAGAACTTGTACATCAATAGAAGATATGGAACTAAAATAAACATGAATTACGAAACAAGGTAAAGAAACATCAACAGATATAACAAGCAGGTAACAGTAATTCAAAAGCACACAAAAAAAATCCAAAAGAACAGAAAGCAAAAACATTTATACCCTCTAATAAAAAAATGGTTCCCAGAATAAGGAGCTATGGAATGTATCAACAAGAAGTGCAGAAAAACTATCCAAGAAAAAAGAAAGATGAATAACAGTAAGAACACTGATGTAGAATAAATAAATTCTTAACAAAAAGAAAAAAAAAAAAACAGAAAACGAATATTGAGAAGGGAACTAAAAAGTACAGTATTAGTTAATAACGGATTGCACAAATATTTATCTCCTGATATCAGCTAAAAGAAGAGGAAAAAAATGAGTATGTACTTAAGAGGATGCGCAGAACATGACCGGGAAAATATTGCAGCGAAACGTATCAATGAAAAAGAAATTGCTGCAACATAATAGAAAGAGAAACCCATATACGTCCACCGGTTAAGCTAGACATACCTAAATCACAAAAAATGAATTAGGTAAAAAAAAGGAAGAAATTAAATGCAGTTAATCACATAAGATTCCGACAAGATTTTCTTAATAAAAATAATGAAAACACCAAACAGATTTAAGCATGCAATGAAACGTTTACATACATGGTAAACACAAAATCGCCATTGAAACGTTTCCATACATAGTGAAAAGAAAATCAAATGAAGGTCCACTGATTAAGCCAGATAATCAGATATCCTGAAACAAATTAAACATGAAAGGGAAATCCAGTTGAACGAAACCCATGAAGGGGAGTATGAATTTAACAAAACCAACAATTGCAAAAACCATAAATCACAATATAGATTTTAAGTGAATAGTTAAATTAAGAATAAATAACGAATTTTACCAACAAAACAGTTCAAAAGAGCAAGAATTCAAAACAACCAGATAGAGAGAACAAGAACTGGTCCTTGAGACAAAGTATCCACTACCCAGAAACCACGAATGGATCAAGAGAATCAAAAAGCACTGACTTGGCAAGTCCTTCGTCCAAGATGGACTGCTCTTCCGCCGTCCATTCCACCGAGAGACCTGGGTTGTGCTTCAATTCATGCGTCGCATGCGCTGGAACTGAATTATCCGACACCGCGCCAGAAATGCTGTTACTAGGGTTTCCCCCTGCTGAACCAGCAGCTGCGACATGGCTCCCCTCCTGATTCCCAGATGGGTTCGCACTTGCAGCCATGAATAACCAAAACCCAACTCCCAGAACCTCAGACTGAACCGTTGGCTCCCGCCAATTGGGTCATTCCCACCATTCAAAAAAATGAAAACAGACCCAAATAAGCAGCTGAATCAAAAGGGAAGCAGAAAGAACCAATCGGAAGCTTTTTGCTAGATATATGTTAGTGACTGAAGGGAGCTCCGAGAGACAACTAGGAGATTTACAATCATTGGAAAGGCAAAAAAGAATTTAGAGAGAGAGAGAAAGCAAAATCTGCACGGTGGTGAACGTGAGAGTTCGTTCTCTGTAGGTCCGAATTTGTAAAATTTTATTTTAGTTTCGGTACTTCTCTTTCACCAATCTGCAATTTCATTCGTCGTTCTTCTCTCCAATCGGAAGTTCAGAACTTCGGACCTTCTCGTGTAGACGTGAAGTTACCTTTTCATCCCTAAAAAAATCTAGTATTTGACTGGAATCTCTTTTGCGACCTTTTGTTGACAATTCAAAAATGGAAAATAGATTTTCCCTTGTTTGAGAATTGAGAGAGTTGTATGGATCGGACGAGTTGGGAGAGTTTCGAATTGGTTGTCCGAGTTATAACTCGTTAATACAAGGAACTAGTCACATCAGAGATTGGATATCAATGGATCGGACGGGTTAGGGTCAGATATATTTCGATGTACGTGCGGCCTGCGGGATTTGATTCCGCGTCAATGCTGGGACAACCCGCTAACACACCAACGAGCCAACCCTCGATTGATTAATCTTAATTGGGTTCGGGATTTGGCTGATCCAATCTATTAGGGCATCATACGTATTCCTATCAATTTAAAAATAGTCTTAAAAGATCAACCGTTTTTCCCTCCCAATCGTGGGTCAGCGGTTTGACCATATTATTATTGTGGGTAAATTTCTTAAAGTATATTTAAGGTTTAGGATTTTTTTTTTTAAATAGCCCTTATGCATCATATTTCATTCAATAAAGAAATTGATATAAAAAAAACTAACAAAGTCAAATAGAAAATTCATAAACAATTTCTCAAGAGAACAAAATATAAAAATGGATGAAGGAGAACATAAAGAACTTCTTCAAACCGAATAAAGGTGAATAAAATCACCAACAGAAGTAGACAATACATCTCCAATCCACCACAAATGACAAATGAATTTGACAGTAGAGGATTCCAAAAGACCGCCTTCGCCAGAAAACTGCAAACAGAACTCACCATGAACAACATCTTCCAGAGAGTTGCAAACTGACTCAATCGTAGACAGCAATCGTAAAGCTACATCCATCGGTAACGGATGCCCAATAAAGAGTCTAAGGGATCCCATGTCAAAACACATATGGGAGAAAAATAGGGGAAAAGAAGAATCCAAATGAAAAAAACCAGAGAACAAAGCCTCGAGAAAACTCAAGGGGAAGCCTCGAGAAAACTCGAGAAGAAGACTCTCTCAAAATAGAGAGAGAGAGAGAGAGAGAGAGAGACCAGATGGGGTAAGGGAAAGGAGAACCTAGGTGGACGGCTCCCTATCCCGAGGAGAGCCACCCCAAAAAAAATCCTAAAGATCGCCTCCTTTTGAAACTCAGCTCTTATTATTTAGATATTGTAAAGTACCTTTTTAAGTTTTATAACAATTGACATCATTCTTATACATTAAAAATGAAATATCAAATTTATCCTCTACTATTCTTAAAATTTTAAAAATAAAGCCCAACTGATGAAAAGGCTATACCACTGTCATTTGGTAGCCAACGTTAGAGAATGATTCCCTTTGCCTTCCACTACAGATTGAGAGATTCGTCAACTGCCGATATTGGAAGTTGGTCTCAGTGTTAGGGGTGGTTAGACCTGTTCATGGGCCGCGTGGCCCGACGGGCCGGCCCGACCCTCGGACGGGCTTGAACAGGTATATAGGCCCACGGGCTTAACCTCGGGCCAAAAAGCCCGACCCGCAATAAATTCGAGCCGGGCTCAGGATTTGTCAAAATAGCCCGGCCCGAGCCCGGCCCTGCCCGACCTATAACTAAACCTAAAAACCCTAGTTGAATATCCCTCTTTTTTTCACCTCTTTCCCTTCTTTTTCCAACCGAATTCTTCTTCTCCACATCCTCTTTCCCTTCTTTATATTCTTTTTTTAATATAAATAAATTTTGAATTTATATATTTTTTAATGTAAATAAATTCTGATTTATATTGATTATTGAATAGGGAAATTTTCTAATTTTTTTTATTAGGTCGGGCTTCGGGCTCGGGCTCGGGCTCGGGCTTCGGGCTTCGGGCTTTTTATTAGGGCTAGGCTTGGGCCCAAGTTGTAGGCTTGTTGGTCGGGTCGGGCTCGGGCTCGGGCCTAACATATTTCTGTTAATGAAGAGTAAAAGCCCGGCCCGACCCGGCCCATGAATAGGTCTAGGGGTGGTAGCTCATATGACTGAGGTTCAGCCCGAGCATTTGCAAGGGACATTCAAGTGCTTGATGCTTTGCGAATACAGGAAGCAGAGATGGCATTCTTCTTCTTTTGTGTAATGCCTGATGCTTTGCGCCTGTTCCCACGTTAAGGCATGCCTAAATGTATTGTTCAGCGAGTTGTGCACTGTGGCTCTCTCTCAGATACAATTTTATCTGATTTGTGGTGGCGGGGGTGATGGGGGGTTGTTCAGAGTGATAGCATCGGGGACAATGCCGGACCCAGGGTCACTAGCGAGAACCAGACAATGGTGGTAGATGCGTTGGTTCAAGGCAAAGGTGGTGGGAGTACTAAGGAGGAAATTAAAGAAAGGCATATGAGACGAGCAAATCTAAAGAGAAAGGTTTCACGACGAGGAGTCGTTGTAGGAAGGCCATGGGCCTTAAGACTAGAAACAGAGGTCGACAAGGTATCCATGGAGACTGGAGAGGAGAGAAGTTGCGTTTTCAAAAGGGAAAGGAAGATAAGATTCATCAAATTGAGCCATTCCGTGAAGGATTTCTCACATTCTCATTCCCTACATGGAAGACAAGCCTCAGCAACTCTAATGGAAATGGCTTCACTTCTATAATTGTCTATAATCACGTCTTAGGAGGTCCTCCCAAGTTTGGAGTTCCAACTTTCTCTTCTCGGATAGAAGACTACAATGAGATTTTTGGAAACTTTCGCACTTCTTGTGGTTCTTCGATTCCAATTCTAGATCTCTCGGTTGTCAACAAGGGCGATGTCTCTAATGTTCTAGTCTCAAACTCAAAGGATAGTTTTGATTTCCGTTTGGTTTTGGCCTGGCTCTGTTTTGATCCCTAGCTCGGGTTGTCGTTACATCCATGATTTGGATAGTTTTGGGTGGTGTTTGACATCGATGTCGTTGTTCCAAAAAACGGTGACACATCAATGTCACATTGGAAAAAATCGGTGCTCCAGAAAATGGTAACATGTTTGGAACCATTTTTCCATAAAAAATGGTGCTCCAAACCACGCCTTGGAAATCGGGGAGTGGTTTGGGAAAACACCGAATTTGACATTTTCTCAATTCAGAGCTCGTTTTTGCCAACGAGGACATGATGTGGCAGTGACGTGAACTTCCTATAATAGGTACTAGTGCTGAAAACAGATATGGAGCATTGACACCAAACAAAAGGTATTGTTGTTGCCCCAAGAAATGTCCTACCTATTAGCAGCATTTCCAAACAAAAAAAAAAAAACACCATTTTCTCAGAAAACAGTACTTTCAACCCACACATATACAGCATCAATGCCAAACATATACTTGATTGTTGTTTACAGCTGCACTATAATCTTGTTGGTGGGAGGCCAATTTTAGGGTTTACTGAATTGTAGATTCCGATATTCAACCAATTCATTTGCATACAAGTGTTGTCTCCTTTATTTTTTGTACAAAGAAAATAGTGTGTTTGTTTCCTTAAATTCTGCCGCACGTCTTCGAATAGAAGAAGTGGACTTCCTTATAGAGTATCTCTCAAATTTGAGATTAAAGACAAAGAGGGTAATACTAGGTTTAAGAAAATATGCGATATCACATGTGTATACATTTTGGCGGAACATTAATGGATGCTAAAGGCAAGGGTAGAGCTAGTTAATTGTCAAAAATAATAGAGGTGGTTTACGACAATTGTTAAACAATTAGGGCATCATAACTTTCTTACCACAAGCTTTGGAATATTATTTTCTGGCATCATAACTTTCTTACCACAAGCTTTTAATAATATGGATGTGATCTGTAATTACTTGCGACTATCTCCAATATAGAAAGAAAGATGCTAATAAACACTAAAAACAAAAGAGGCTTTCTACATATGCATCGTCTAAAACAACAATTTTTATCAGTTGTAGCAAAAAAAGAGACTTCATAGAAGACAAAATGTGAAGAAATAGACAAAATGTGAAGCACCATAAAGATCAATTAGCGAGGCTTTGGGCTGACACAATAAGAATTGCTTATGATAAGAGATAAAAGTAAGAATCCACCTATGTAATATATATAGTCGATCCACAAAGGTATTGAGTAGCGGTGAACCACCAGATCCCGAAGAAACTTTCTATTTTATGGAGGAAAGTCTTTCAAAGATTCTATGTGAATTTCTGATGTTGATGGAACACCAAAAGGATTGAATGCTCAACCGTATGATGTAGGAAACTCTCTTGTACAATTTTAAGAGAAGGAATTGACCCAACTATTCTGATTGGGAGAACAGGCCATTCAATAGGGAGATTCTGATGCGTTGTGGTGCCCTAGCAGGCGCCTTCACTTGCTACCAAGAAGCAATGGCACCACTCGAAAGCCAGAGCAACAAGTGAGAAAAAAGCAAAGATGATCGTTGATGCTAGGGGTGGATTCAAGCTGAGCCGAGCTGAATAGTATCAAGCTCGAGCTCGAGCTCGGTTTGAGCTCGAGCTCGTCTCGAGTCAAGAGTTCATAAGTTCGAGCTCGGCTCAGCTTGGCTTGTTTTATATTTTATTATATATTTTATAAATATTTTTACTATAAACATATTTAGAAAAAATATTTTATAAAAATAAAAATTATATATAATTTTTTTTATTTTATATTTAAAAATTTAAGAATTATAATAATTAATAATATAATATTATATATATATATATTCGAATTGGCTCGCGAGCCGAGCTCTAATAGGCTTGAGCTCGGCTCTTTTAATAATCGAGCCATTGAATTGGGCTTGAGCTCGAACTCGAACTCGGCTGAAACCTAGCTGAGCCAAGCTTTTCACAAACCGAACTCAAACAACTCGTGAAAAGCTTGACTCGTTGCCACCCCTAGTTGACGCACAAAAGCTGTTGTGCATTAGCCCCTATGAGAGTAAGGCCTTTTCTTGCTGCGTAGGCTTGATTCGCATGCTTGAGCAAAGCTTTAGTTGTACTTTTTTATCTAGATCACAAGATTCTCCTTTAATAATCACGCACATGTTC